CTTAACTATCAGTTCCATGAAATTTTTCTCAGAAATAAAAGCTGAATATCATATGCCCTACCACACAACAACGTGATGGCTTAGCAATGGTATGGTTTTATTGAACTTTTTAAAGCTCAAGGATGAGACAGGAATTTTTCTGAATAAGAATCCCTCTCAACCACTGTTACTGAACAGTGAATGGCTGTGGAAATCAGTTTTTGTTACAGATTTGGTATTTCTCATGAATTTGACCAAAAATTAGAAGGCCAACAGCACTTACATGTAAAATCCATACTGAGGTAAAGTCATTTCAAGGACAACTGACATTGTCTGAATCACAGATCATGTCAAGCTGCTTTATACACTTCCGATGCTATCAAAAATTAAGACTCAAGTTCTCCACTGTAACACATGTATGTGGTAGATGTATTTTCCAAAGTCAAACTACAGTTCCAGCAGCATCTTTCAGACCGCAATACAAATACTTTCCACATTTCAAAAACCATTTAACTGTGCAACAAGGAGCTTCCTGTAATTCTCAACTGGAAGTGATTATTCAATAATGGAATGAAAGGTAAATATCAAGAAATGAATCTAACAGAATTCTACAGATGCCTTCCAAGCAATAAATACACTCTATGAAAACCATGTTCATAGACTGCTATCAGTATTTGGCAATACTTATCTGTGTAGGAAGATATATTCCAAGATGAAATACATACAATCTTACTACAATCAGCATTAAATGTGAACATCTGTAATCAATTTTGATCATAGGGAACAGTAAGTTTAAACTCCAGTTGAGTAAAATGTTATCCCTTCTCCCCCAAAAGAGATTTCATTCTTCTCATTATTACAAAAAGTTCTCAATCATTATTACTATTGTATTTTCAATTTCATCAATAAAAATATTTGTGGAAATTTTTTCTCCCTTGTAATATAAGTACCTATATAACAGTCTTCATTTACCTCTGGACCCACAAAGCTTAATTTTACAATCTGGGCCTTTACACAAAACACTGGCCAACTCTTGACCTAGAAGAATAAACTGAGGCAAAGAAAGATTACGTGACTTGCCCAAGACCAAGACTAGAGTTAGAAAGTGACAGACCAGGTTTCAGACCATGGCAGGCTGAGTGCAGAAACCAAGCTCTTAACCACTATATCACACTGTTTTCACGAACCAAGAACAAGATGTGATTAAAAAAAAAAAGTAAATGTTCAAAGAACAAGAACAGACACTTGAAATTAAAAAGTGATTTAAAAATTCAACAGAGGAGAGAGAAAAGGTCAATGAAACTCCCATAATCAAGAACAAGAAGACGAACAGATGGGAAACAGGAGACAGAAAATTCAAAGATCTGTTTAGAAGGTCTTAACAGATTAGTAACATGAGTTCCAAACAGAAAGCATGAACAAAATAGAAGGGTGTGAAGTCAAGTTGGAACAAGGTCTGAGACTACTTTACATGCACACCAGCAGAGACCGTGAAGCCTCTGGGACAGGGACGAGAAACAATTCACTGCTCACAGCAACAGCAGCAGCCAGAGTAACATCTTGCATCAGTTTCCTGGGCCCCAATCCCCATAGGTCTTGCAATGTATTTGGTAAAAACCAGTTACATATTCTGGAAAAAAAAAAGCAAACAAAGTTGAGGGGGCACAGGAAAACAAGGTAAACTACTCAGCTCAGCAGTGATATTTATACAGTCACAGAAATGCAAACACCGAACAGTAAGTTAACCAAACATTCTTAAGTGTCTATACTGGAAGGGCTGGAAGACAGGGAGGAGGAGGACCTCATCTACCATTACACAGTCAACGGGCGTTACCTGAAATTGATTAATCACAAAGTAGCCATTTAGATATATTTATAAACACAGATAAAAGTAGTTATCTCTGGGAACCAGACTAAAAAGGATAATATGCCTCCTGGTGTTATCTTTTCTAACAATTTGCAAGTATTACTTTAAGTAGAAATATTAACTTATAAATAAATTGGAGAGTGGTATGCTAAAACACACCACCATCAGAGAGCCAGGATCTTCACACCTGCAGACAGCCAAGACCTCAAAAGCTAAGGTAGAAAGTGGAAACCCCTCAGGAAGCAGGATACCAAAGTACAGGACTTCCTGAAATCCTTTCCACCTCTAAGAGTCAGTCCTCTCCCCGTCCTGGGAAAGGAAGAGCAGAAACAGCCATCCTGCCCCTCTGCTTTTCAGGCCCAGAGCACTCAACCATGCCTAGGTCAGCTAGTCACATAAGGAAAACCCTAGAAGGGAATTCTAGCCCAAGTCTCATAGTAGCTCATTCTTCCTGTAAATTTTCTCTCACTTTGAGTCTTCCTGTTGAATTGGAGGTGCCTCTATTACCCACTGGGACCTCTACCCTCTCACCCTGGGCATGGGAACCATCACTGCCCCAGAGTGTCCTGTGTCATCAAGTAGCAGCTGAGCATTATATATACTGTGGTTACAAGTATACAATACCTTGAAAACATGAATATGAAAAAGACTGAAATGAAATACAGAAAAACTTTACACGTTGATTTTATACTTAATGCCTTCTAAAGGCCTCATTTTACCAAAGCCTCAGGTATTTCCCATATATTCGATTATAGTCACTAAAAGGAGAATGGAACAGTCCTCTCCAGCACTAACCATCCCCACTATCCACAAACTGAAAGACGGCACACTGCATTCGTGGTAGCAGACAAAATCACCTATTTTCTTAAGTCTCAACAAGATACTGTGGTAGGCAGAATAACAGCTTCCAAAGATGTCCACATCCTAATCTATGGAAACTGTGACTCTGCTATTTTACAAAGCAAAAGGAACGCTGCAGGTATAATTAGGTTAAGGACCTTAAGACAGGGGAAATTACCTTGAATATCCACATGCACCTGAACTAATCACATGGGTCCTTAAAAGTGGAGAACCTTTCTTTCCCAGCTGCGGTCAGATCAACTACAGAAGAAGTCAGCTGGCAACACTGCTGGCCTTGAAGATGGAGGAAGGGGGTCACAAGCCAAGGAATGTGGCAGCCCCTAGAAACTTCCAAAAAGGAACACAAGCTTTAAACACTGACTTTAGCCCAGGAAGACCCATTTCCACCTTCTAAAATACAGAACTTTAAAATAGTAAGTTTGTATTGCTTTAAGCCACTAAATTTGTGGTAATTTGTTACAGCAGTCACAGAAAACTAATATACACATTAAACAACTTCTAACAATATGTGAAATCACCTAGAGGAGAGAAGAATCCTCCAATTGCCCGAATATTTAGACCATTATGAGACACAAAAGTAATTTGTGCACATTGTGGTATATTTCACTCCTGTTTTTCTCCTGCTCTCACAACATTCCAACTGTTGGAGAGCCAGCCAAAATGACAATTCTTCAAACTTCCTATAGAGGGATGAACCGTGTTAACCAAGAAAATGGGTCAGGATAGTAGGACTGACTGGAAAAATCAGGAAACAATTACACAGTATTTTTCAGTCAAACATCATGATGTCTGTACTTCTGACTTCCTTTGTATCAAATGGATACCACATTTAAAAATAGTAAGTCCTTCTAGATATTGATATTAAGAGCTTACTATTAACTTTTTAGGTGTGATAATCATACTGTGGGTATATTAAAAAAAGACAGTGACTCAATCTTCCATAGACATATGCTCAAATATTTACAAATGAAATGGAGTGGGGATAAGAATGGATAGAGGCATAGAAGGAACTAAATTAACCTGAGTTACTAATTGAGTTGGGTACTGGGTACTTGGGGGTATATTATCTCAGTCTGAACCTTTCCAAATTTTAAAGACACAAAAACAAAGTCCTCGACCTATTTATCATAATGATACAGATTTCTTAATATACATAATAGTTGGAAGTCCCTCCTGAAACATAGCTCCACCTCAACTTTCTGCCACTTAATCCCCACCTCATTTAGCCCTATTTACTAACTCAGTAAGTTTCAGGAAGTCACCTAACCTCAAGAAGATTGTCTTCATCTGCAGAATGGGAATATTTATACTTGCCCAGTCTATCTCTGACTTGCGGAGAGAATTATCTAAGATAAAAACTACAAAGCAATATAACCATTCTAAAAATCTATATATTGACAAATTTCATGCTCAACAGCAATCATTCACCTATTCTTACAGACCCTCTTCCCTTCCACCTCCAGTTCCTCTTTTGAGCTCCCAATTCAACAGCCCAAACGCCAGGGTCCCTCTGAAAGGTACCTAGTCCATCTATCCTGTGTACCCCTTTGCTGGCCCTATTACAATCATGCCATTGCTTCTCTATATTTCAGGTCTTTCATCCTATCAGCTTTATTAACCCACTACTGTCCCCGGTTCGCAAATACCCGGCTACCCTCCCACCCTCTCTCACCTTTCAGTTGAAACATAATTGCTAGTTGCCAGGGAGTGGGGGAGGGAAGAATAAGGAGTTACTGCTAATGGGTACAGGTTTCTTTCTTGGGTAATAAAAATGTTCTGAAATTAGATAGTTGCACAACCCTGTGAATATGCTTTTTAAAAAAATACTGAGTTATACTTCAACTGTACTTTTAAAGCGTGAATTTTACGGTATGTAAATTACATCTCAACAAAAATGTGCACGTCAAAAAAAAAATCAACATTATTGCTCACCCCGCCCATCACACGCCTATTTGTCAACCTCATTTCCCGAAGCATCGACTTGCTTGCTCTTCGGTATCCCCTCCCCAACTCCCAACAGCAGACTCGGACAGAGGCCCCCCTCACCCTCTTGATTAACACACCCCCTCACCTCTCGGCTCGAAGTGCCACTGAAACCTGGAAGTGGGGGAAGGGGAGTTGGGGGCAGCTCTCGTGGCTCAGACGGGGTGGCCCCGCCCCCGCTGGCAGAAGGGACCCTTCTCCCCGACCTCCCCGGGGGAGGGGAGGGCGTCCCCAAGCCCGCTCTGACAAGCGGCGGGGGGCCTCGCCCGGCTTCCCGGGCCGCGCTGCCGGGGGTGGAGCCACAGCCCACCTGTCTCAGCAGGCGGGGAGATCCGCTTCCTGCTCACGGACGGGCGAGCGGGTGGCAGAGGGGACAGGACGAGCCCTGGTCGCCGCCGCAGCGGGGGTGGCGCACGCCAGCTCAGGCCTCCATGTTTCCACGTCTCTGCGGCTCCGGCTCCGGCTCCAGCTCCGGCTCGTCTCCCGCCCGGGCAGCGTCAGTGCGGAGAGGCGGGCAAAGAAAAGGGAAGCGGCCGAGAACGCCGCTGAGGACCGAACGGCCTGGCGCGCTCCGGCCGGCGGTCACGTGGCGCGCGGACTTGTGGGAAATGTAGTCCGTCGGGCGTTACGCGTCTCCCCACCCTCCTGCGCCTCCAGGGCAACGGCCGAGCCACGCGGCAAAATCCAGACGCCGCTGAACCTTCCAAGCCTCGTGCTGGGGTCCTGGCTTCCCCTACAGCACTTGTTCTGGTACCCTACTTATTAAGGCCCCTGTTCATTCCTACCCAGTAATCACCCCAAAGTCAGGCAATTCCTTGTACGGCTGTGAAGAATTGGGAAATAGGAAAATAATATTTGATGGAGTCAGGTAGCAGGTCTAGAACTGCCTGCAGTTCTGTCAGAAAGGACAGGCCAGCAGGAAAGAGTGTCAATATGGTGCAGTGCCAAAAGTGTGGAATTTGAAGTCAAATGAGCTGTTACCAGATTGACGTCCTGAGTCCGTCCTTCACCTCTCCAGCCAGTTTCTCATCTGAAATATATATACAAGATAAATATACAAGGTAGTGATGGTGCTTTCCATACAGGACTATGGACGATGTCAGCAACAGTAATAACAACTCATATTATGGGTTATTTTCTATGCACTCTACACTGTTACTTTATTCAAATAACGCCACGAGATAGATATCACTGTCATTTCCATTGTTTTTTTTTCTAGTTCCTTAAGTTGTAAACTTCAGTTGTTGATTTGCTATCTTTCTTCGTTTATAACATAAACATTTATAGCTATAAATTTCCCCCTTGGCAATATTTTCACTCTGTCCCATAAGTTTTGCTATGTTGTATTTTTAGTTTTGTTTGTCTCAAGATGTTTTCTAATTGCCTTTGTGATTTCCTCTTAGATCCACTGGTTGTTTAAAAGTGTGTTAATTTCTCCAAAAACAGAAGGAAAAAAGGGTGGAGCAAGAAGTGGAGCCAATTGTCTTTCAAAACTTTCTAAGCTGAGCTTTTACTAATTACTGGTTTGCAGTGTCTGGAGTGCCGCTTTTCTTTGTCGCAAGCTGAATACAAGAGGGGGCTGACTCTCTTCTTAGAACCTAAAGGGCCAAAAAGGACCTATGCCTATCAGAAGGCCAGTCCTTAAGCAGGATCAAAACTATCCCCCAGATTATTGTTTCAATCCTGTCCAAGAAAAGTGCTCATGTTTCCACTTCCTAGGAGAGAAGAGCAGACTTCGGGGTCAGACTTGTGTTTGAATTCCAGTTCCATGAGAATGAGTTGAATGACTTGGGAAAGCTATCCTAGTCAGTTCTTAGTTTGTTGGCTCCTGTAACTGACTAGTTTTCTTCTCAGTAAAAAGGAGACAGTTGAATCGTCCCTTTCAAGAGCTACTAAAATGTCAGGGGGAGATACTCAAGTGATTTGTTAATTTACCATTCGATGATTTCTAATTGTTCTGCATTTTTTTCTATTTAGTTCCAAAACATTTAGCAAATGTATCCCCCAAGGCACTGTGGGTGGTGGCTGCCTTCAAGGAGCTCACCAACCTGTGAAAGACACAGTAGGTACCCAGCTATTTGTAGTGCAAGGTCACCCACAGAACTGTTGTATGGAGCCTGCAGGGCACAGGGGCAAGAGACCCTCTGAAAGAAGGAAATGGAAGGCTTCCCAGAGGTTGTATTTAAATGGGGTGAAAAGTGTTCTGGTCCCAATTTCCAAAGTCGGGGGAGGGGTGATTCTCCAAAATCAACGGGGTGTCTTATGATTCTATTCAATTCTGACATTTAGAGATAGAATCAGATGCCACAGGTAAGGGCTCAGTCCCACAAGACCACACTCCATTTCTGATGTCAATGCCAAGTCCAGGTTGTTACCTATACTTCTGACTGGCTATAAATCAGATTCCCAGACCCCCTCCTTGAGTTTGATTAATTTGCTACAGTGTCTCACAGAACTCAGAGAAACATTTTACTTACTAGATCATCAGTTTATTATAAAAGGATATAATAAGGAAACAACCAGGTGGAAAAGATGTATAGGGCAAGGTATGGGGAAGGGGCACAGAGCTTCCGTGCTCTCTAGTACACCACTCTCCCCAAATCTCCACGTGTTCACCAACCAGGAAGCTTTCTGGAACCTGTCCTTTGGGGGTTTTATAAAGACTTCATTATATAAGTTGATTAAATTATTGGCCATCGGTGATTGAGCTCAACTTCCAGCCCCTCTCCCCTCTGCAGAGTTCAGAGGGGTGGGACTGAAAGTGCCAGTCTTCTGATCATGTGACTGTTTCTTCAGGCAACCTGTACCCAAGTTTTGGTGTGTTCAAGTCGCCTCATTAATATAACAAAAGACACACTGCTCTATTCATTTAGGAAATTCCGAGAGTTTTAGGTGCTCTGTGCCAGAAATGAGGACAAAGACCAAACACGTATTTCTTATTATAAACCATATCTCAGTATTTCCACTGCCTTGAGCAGGTGGCAACGAACCCCGAATAGCACACAGCTCTCCTTTATCAGAACATACAGTTTTCTAAAAAAGAAGTGCTAAGGGAGAGATTTACAAAGGATTGAAGCTTCTCCTTTGATACAATCCTAAGCATTAAAAGAGCATTAGGAGGGGGAGGTGAGTACCAGCTTTGCACTTTTTATTATATACATACACTTCTGAATTATAATTTTTGGAAAGAACATTCATGATTCATTCCATAAATACTGTGTATCTATTCTGGACCAGACACTTACAGGTGCTGGGGATTCAGAATGCACTAGTCTTATAATAAAAATTAAAATAAAACATAAACATTGAGAATAGATAACAGACGACTAGGCTCGGAAACAGATTGTTCATGTTTTACTTTCTTTTCCTTCGGATTGTTTAAAGTCTATCTTCAAAGTCAACAATAAGAAGAAAAAAAGGCATCATAAAAAAAATGTAGGATGGGGGTCAGGAGGGATTTTTAGACTATCTGTATTTTAACGCTATTTTATAATAAGAATACATTAATGTATTAGTTGTAGAATAATATCAAATTAAAAATTAGAAAAGATGCACTGGTAAGTGAAGAGTTTGGAGAGGTCACCCATGTTGCTGTTTTTCAAAATTGTGAAACATGTAACAAAAAGAAATATATAACAGACACAGCTTAAAGAACAATACTGTGAAACCCACTTCTGAACTAAGAAACAGAATAGCAGCAGTATTTCCCAAAGCCCTATGCTTCTCCTTGATCGCACCTCTCTCCCCTGAGAGGTTAACCACCATCCTAACTTCTATCCTAATAATTCTCTAGATTTTTAGAGCTACATAAAATGAACTACATAATAATAATAATCATTATGTATTATTTTGTGTCTTGCTTTTTTTTCTCTGAACTCTTTCAAGATTCATCCATGTGGATGCATACATCCAAGAATTTACTTTATAATTTACTTTTTAATTGACTTGCCTCTAGTAAATGGACAGATGTTAAGGTTATATCTAAATCTTTACATATGTATACCTGTGTAAGCACCAATCACATCAAGGTAGAGAACATTTCCAGGACCCTAGAAAGCTCATGTGTTCTCCTTTTGAATCACTATCCCCCAGAAGTAACCACAATTCATACCTCATGCTACATAATTACTTTTGAGTTCATTTTTCACTGTGGCATAGTATTCCAGTCTATACATATTTTGTGAATTTTACACATAAAGTAATTGTTGATTGGCTTTTGGATCTCTTGATCAGGTGAACTAAGAAAGCTTGCTTCCATCACTTCATTAACTGAAAATGATATTAACCCACAGTTTACACAATGGAATTTTTTGAGCCCTGCTTAAAGCATTATAACAAGGTTTTATTACACCAATTTATTTGTCCATCCTACTTTGGATGGACTTTTTGAGGGTTTTTCTGTTTTGTTTTGTTTGGGCTATTTCATAGACAATACTTCTGAGAATATTCTTGTACATCTCCTGGTCTGCAGATACAGTTTTCTCTCGTATCCAGACTCTAGGAGAGGCATGGCTGGGTCACACTGTAAGTGCATGTTCTGCTTTATCAGAGAATGCCAACTTATTTCCAAAGCAGCTGTACCAGTTTACACTCCCACCAGTGGTACATACAGACCTTTTCTGTTCTTCATCCTCCCAGCTCGTGATGTTCAATTTTAACCATTCCGGTGTTTTCTCATTGTGGTTTTAATTTGCATTTTCCTGCTGAAATATGTGTTTCCATACGTTTATAAGCCTTTCTTCTTCTGCAAAATACGCTCTTTAACTGCCATCCTCCTTCTCTCTTGTGAAATGACTTCTAATCATCCAATGATTAGAAAAGACCATGCTGAGTAGCTCTTTAAATTTCACTCCAAAGAGTTTAAAGTGAAGCTGGGGGACACTGATAGGTGGAGACCATGAGATTCAGATCCAAAGTGGATTCCCAAGTACAAGGACTAGAATCGTTAGTCAGGAAAGGGGCCATGTGCACCAGGCAGACTTCTCAGATGGTTCCCCTAGATTCCTGGCCACCGATTTATACACATCTCCAAACACCAAATACAAAACTAGGTGCTGATGTAAAGGGATTTTTGCAGACATATTAAGACTCCAAATCAGTTGAACTTACATTAGCGAAATTATCTAGGCATGTCTGATTTAATCACACGAGCCCGTTAAAAGCAGAGAATTTTCCCTGCTGGTCCCAGAAGATTGGAAGACAGAGACGTGCTCTGCCAGCCCTGGAAGAACGTGAACATCCTTGCTGTGAGCTGCTTATGCGACACACATGCCAGGGAACCACAAACAGCCTCTAAGAGCTAAGAATGGTCCCTGGCTGACTAGAGGGAAATGGGAACCTCAGTCCTACAGCCACAAGAAGATGAATTCTGCTGGCAACCAGTGAACTTGGATGCCCAGATGAGAACTGCAGACCTGGCCAATGTCCTGGTTTCAGCTGGTGAAAGCCTGAGTGGAGAATCCAGCCATGTCATACCCAGTTGCCTGACCTACAAGAAAATATGATAATAAACTTGTGTTGTTCTTAAGTCACTAAGTTTGTGGTAATTTGTTATGTAACATTAGAAAACACCAAGGAAGTATGAAACTTCATCTGCTGAATTACAAGTCAGGAGCTGGACCTGTGTCTGTTTGTGGATGTGCAACATACAGATGCAGGGGCATCATTTACATCGTTGTCCATGTGAATGGGGCCCTCTGAAACTGGACAGTGCACACTCAGCACAAACGTACACAGCAGTCCTGCAGGAGTCTCCGCTCTTGCCGTTTCAGCATCTGGGCTACCTCTTTTAACTTTCTATTTTTTTTGCCATTTAACCATTTTGGCAGAAATGAGAGGACTGAGCTAGGTGTACCTTAAGGTCCACACCAGCTCAGCATTTGGAGTGTTTATATTCTGCAACTACTCTACCGCACACTGCCCTGAGTTCGTACCTTCTCAGTGTAACTTTCACTTCACTTCACTATGTCTGCCCGTAGTCTGTTCCTTAGGGAGCTGTCACCGCGTTAATCAATTTGGCTTCGAGGATGGAACCAGCCAGTAGCCCTGTAGGGAGGAAACCACAAGGGAACGTCCCTCCCCTTCTTCCTTTTGGTATGAATGAACTCAGGACATTTAGCTTTAGAGTCCAGGAGGCTTAAGATCCACGGATACAAGTTCTTTTCAACCCTGTAAGTGGAACAGATCGACACACTAGTGTTGGTCATTTTGAGGAAGTGCTGACTCACCTGTTTCTTTGGATGGTGGCTTAGTAATGAAAAAATGTGACAAAACCCAGGTCTTTCAGGCGAGCCTTGAAGAATTATCTGAGAAGAAATGCAGTTAAAATTAACTAAGGCAAAATAAGCTACTGAAAACTAGGGAAGTTACAAAGTCATGCTGGAAGGTGAGTAAAATCAAAGCTTGAGAACAAGTCCACACTGATTAGTCCACACTCCCTGCTCCATTTCTGCCCAGTTACTCCCACCGGGGTTTTTTACACGGTGTCAGCAGCTGTGACCGCTCTGAGGGGGTCAATATTTTAAAACAACTTAAGAGTATGGCTTTGGATTCCTAGACTCTACACATATTTAAACTCTACGATGCCATTTCCTTCACTTTTTCAGTTTTGAAAGGATCAGTTCAGATCAGGTAAGATCACATGTGAAGCACTCTTGCATAGCACCAGGCACACGTGCTGAACAAATGGCATTGTTCTCTTTAGAAACTTAGACTAATGCCTCTGAAGTTCTTTAATACCGTATACTTAATGGTGTTTTACATCATAACTAATAATACTGCATCATTTATTGATCTGCCCATAAATATGGCCTTCCAGTTACTCTCTCAACAATATTTCCTTATTAGTGGGCACAAATACAAATCAAGGACCAGAAAATATGAATGATAATGCATTTCCCAGTCATGTTATATTGACTGTAATTTCATAGAAGAAGTATACAGTTACTCATCTTCCAACAATGTCTTCTCTTGAACGCCTTAAGCAATAATGACTGCCTCCCTAGAAGGTGATATATGTCAGCACTGATGACATCCCTGCCTCGCACACACCACCGCCAGCAAGCAGGGCAGATGAAAGGCCTGACTGCAGGCAAAGAAAAATGGTCCCACTCATTCTAATTATACCCCTTCTCACACATGGTTTAGACCCCACGCAGGAGAGCACACCACCACATGGAGGCAAGAGAGGACATTAATCAGAAGGACAAGCTCTCATCATGGAGCAAAAGTTTTAAAAGCCCTTACAAGAGTAAGGCACAGCCACCTCTGCAGAATTGACTGGCACATGACACAGAGCCTGTGGAAGGGCTGGGGTGCCCTTCTTGGGTGTCAGCAGGAGAGGTGCACAGGATATAAGATGCTCACCTGAACTACTATAAACAGTAGCACCGCAGTCAGACTATGGACAGGAGAGAGCTGAGAAGGGCCCAGACCCCTGGCCCAATCCATGGATCAGCTGGGGACTGCTTCGAGACCAGATCCTTGAATGTGTCCTGTGTCACCAAAAGTCAGCCTGTAAGCACCATTCTAGTAATCAACTTAGTACACTGTTATCAAAGAAATAATGTAGCAGTTTTTGGAAACCATTTGCTGCTAGACTGCTCTCCTGGAACCAAGGTTCTGGCCACATGGTCAGAGATAACTTCCTAGGTGCAGAATTCAGTAACTGGGGGGTGTCTGGTGGACGCCAGGGGCAAGATAGAGCATCAAAGAGCATCTAGAGGAGAAAACAGAGATGAGGCCTGCCCAGTTTAATCCAGGATAGACTGCCCCACTAGAAGGCAATTCTGAGTCCCAGACATTGGAAGAAAACTTGGAAAAATTTTCAGAATACACTTCCAGATGTAGAGTTAAAAACAGTATCTCTGCTTGTCCTGGTCCAAGGGTGGTTCTATCTAAAATATTGGTTCTTCACAGTTACAAATATGAAGTGAGTTAGCCATGAGGATGACTGGGAGAAAGCGTACCATGATGGTAGACAGTCTATATAAAGGACCTACAGCAAGAAGGTAGCTAGCTGGCCAGTAAGAAGAACAGAATAGTGCCCGGCTAATCAGAGGAGTCAGTGAGGGACTGGTCATAAGCGAGGAGTGTAGAGAGAAAAAAGGACAGCCAGATATGTCTGATTTTTACTAACTGTAAGGAATTTAGCTTTTACCCTGAGTGACATGGAGAGTGTTTTCAGAATACTGCATGGAAGTATGATAGGATCTGACTTATGTGTCTGAAGGATAATTCTGAGACTGTGTTGAGGATAGAGTATTAGAGCAAGAATGCCAAAATAAAAGTAAGAATAGATGTGAGGGAATTGCAATAATTCAGGGGAAATACAATAGTGGTTTGGAACAAAGTAATAGATCGAAAAGTGATTAGAAGTGATTTAAATTGAAGTGTATATTGAAGATTAAGCCAACAGGATTTCCTGACAGACTGAACGTGGGATTGAAAAAGAGACACCGAATGTGCCATCACCTGAGACAGAGAATTTGTGAGTGGAGTAGGTTTGGAGATGAGAGAAGACTCAGGGCACAGATTTGATGTATTCAGCTAAGAAATCTATTATGACTATTCAGGAGGAAATACCATGGAGGAAGAAACAGCATGGACTTCCTCAACCTCAGGAAAGAAGTCTCAGCTGGAGGTAGCAATCTGGGAATCGTGGTCATGTACAGACAATGTGCCAAGGAAGGCTGGGGGAAGTGATGCTGACGGAGTCTGTAAGATAAGTGAGCGATGACAATTACATTTCGTGACACAGAGGGCCTTGCTGACATTGAGAAGAGCTTTTTTGTAAGTGTTGATAATTGAAGTGTGACTGAAAGTGTTTAAAGAGAATGGAAGGACAGAAATTGGAGACAGGTGTTATAGAATCTCTTGCTACAAAGAGGAGAGAATGACATGAAGTAGTAGCTGATAAATGAAAAGGAATCAATGAAAGATTTAATGTTAAAGATGAACAGAATAACAGATTGCTTCCTTGATGATGTAAAATGACCCAGTAAAAAGAGAAATGTAGATAAAACAAGAGATATAGAAGCTATTTTGACTAATGTCTTCATGTAACCAGAAGGAAATGAGGTCCAGTGTATAATAAAGATGTTGGTTGCCTTTGGAGAGGAGCACAGATGATGAATGCATTTTTAAGAGTAGGTAGGAAGGTAGCATATAACTGAATGGGTGCTGGAAAACTGGAAGATATAACTGGAAGATTCTGAGGAAGTTCTCTTTGAAGGCTTAAATTTTTCTGAGTGAAATACTAAGTTTATTTAATATCACCTAATAAGTTGGATGCTGTGGTTGTTTTTTAGGCCAATACTCTCCTTCAAATTAAAGTGCAAACATTATTCCTATTTGCAAAGTCTTTTTATTACAAATAGTATTGAATTGTTCAATTTTGATACAGAGATTATATGATTTACAGTCTAATATTAGCCACAGCAAGTTCCCCTAAAAAAGCAGTAAGAGCAGTATTTATTTCAAAACCAAAGTGTTAAAGAAACAAACAAAATACAGTCATTGGCTGCTAATATGTTTATTGAGTAAAGCTACTTCATGTGAAGAAATTAGGCAGACCTTTAAAACAGATAAGAGGAGAAATTTGTGAACTCTAATTGACAGATAATAATTTCAGCATGAACAGTCAGAATGGCTCAACTATGTAATGGAAAATGTAAATTCTGCACATACTTGTGATGCTGGAGAATTACCAAAAAGGTTACAATTATTTAATGTTAGGGATCTCACTATGACCCTTCCAGTTCTTTAATTCTTTAATTAAAGATCAAAGTTTTCACACTGTCAGGGGCTTTATCTTCTTCTCTGACATGAAGCAGGGTGAAGAACTACAAAGTGAATGGGGGAATTTAATTTTAAGATGCTGTAAGCAGGCAGTAAACATTATGTTCTGTCATTGACATGCCAAGAGTTAAATGGAAGCTCTGTGAGATGCTCGATGCCAAACTGCTGAGTCATCTTTGAGTTCATAAAGGATTTGATGTTTAATTATTACTCTAATCAGAGTTGCTCTGATGCTCAGATACTTTCTGAATCTGAGGGTTAAAAAACAATTGATTTATTGTGCACCTTTCACATCTCACATGTGCCACATTCCGTCTTGTCCACTGTGCACTGATCTCCTTCACCTCCTTCACTTCCGGTTGGTTCCTACCTTGCGGTCTCTGCACAAGCTTTTCTCTATTGCCTGGAGCGCTCTTCCCACTGACTGCTTAAGGATGGTCCTATCTCATCTTCCAGGACCTAGTTTAGGAATAACCTCTCAGAAAAGCCTCCTGTCCCCTCAACTAGAGCTACCCTGTCCCCCTGCACCACTCCATTACAGCTTTCTGGAAACCATTGGTCTCTCTCTGACTTTATTTTCATTTCTGTATGTGGTCTCCTGCTCTAGAATGTAAGCCCCAAGTTAAAAGGGGAGCACTGTCTTATTCATCCCTGTGTATCCTGACCCTAGAAGAGGATCTGACACTTCATACAAACTCCGTGAATACTCTTCAGTAAGTAAATGAACCTCATAGTTCTCAAAAATAGCTGGTGATAATTAACATGAAATACCTATTGTAATACATATTTAGTGTTTAAAACTAAAAATACTGGTTTAAATGTTGTGCTTGTATGAAATACTGTAACTGATGTTGCCATTACTGTCATCATATGTCATAGATGGTTTAAAATAAGAAAACTATAACAGAATGCTAATTTATGCTAAGACATTAGACTTCCCATATGCCTAGTTAAGGGAGGCAGTTAAAAAAGCATCAGTGTCTTTCAGTGACAGGCAAAGCAAGATCTGAGAGAAAATAAACATCCTTTGTATTTAGAGACCCAACTCTAAGTTGTAACAGCAAGTGCTACCAGAGAGTAGGTTCTTGTCTCATAGCAGAAAGAATTCAGACAAGATGCAAAGGTCAAGAAAGAAAAGTGAAGATTTATTAAGCAGTAGTAAGCTCTCAAGGGGACAGTGGGCAGACTCAAGTAAGTAGCTGGGCTGAGTCTCTTTGGCAAGATGGTTATAAGGGGTGTAAAATAAATGGGTGGAATATTCACTGGGGAGAGAGGAATTTGGGGTGTTATTCCCTAGTTTTCTTCCCAGGTCCACCTTCCTGAGGAGAGGAGGGAGTTTTGTCCTTATTTAGCCTTAATTGGAAGTGTCATGGCATCGGCACCTGATGGGTACTTCTTATCTGCAAGGCTAATTTTATTGTAATGAGGACTTAATGTGCAAAATGCCATTCAGATGCCAGAGACCCTCACCTTTTCGCAACTTTCTTTTTCTACCTCCAAGACACTTACACCCCAAAATGTTTGATTTCTTATTAGCCCATTGGTTCCCACTTTTCTTTGTCTGGTGAAGCATCCCATTATTTACAAGATGTATAATTTCCTGCCATTTGGCCCTTGCCCCTGTTTCTCTGCTTACATTTACTTATCATAGTTTAAAAAAAATCAAGGCTATAGAATTAACTTTTTTCTCATAAAGAATATACATATAGACAGATATTTTGAAGTACATTGACTCCAGCATGAGTGATTCTTATTCTGCTTCTCTAAAGGAAGAAAAATGGTAGAGGAGATATTTGGTAGAATTGTCTTCCATATTAAATAGTAAATTACTAATCTGAGATTGTACTTGCTTTCAAAAGTTTCCAAAAAGGACATTCAGAAGCATGCAAACTAGATAATTCTAGCTCCTATATTGTTTGTATTACTTGTTCTATCCTACTTTTTACCCCCCCCAAATTTTGAATTTGCAAATATAAAAAAAAAGCTAAGCTACTTTTAAATTTATATGTATTCACTAATATTTATTAAGCACCTACTAGGTGACTGGCAATATTCTACCCAAGCATGAACAAATAAACATAATTCCTGACCTTACAGGAATTACAACCTTGTGGGGAAAACAGAGAAAATAAAAGTCAATAAATAACTTTTAATTCTAGTTTGTGATTGTTGATATTCAAGATATAACCAGACAAAGAGTTAAGAGAATAACTGAGGGGAAAGACTAGAGAAAGTCATCAGGAAACACTTGTCTAAGAAGGTGGGAGTTCAAGTGAAAGTGGAAAAAATGAGATTTAGACACGCAAGTGAAAACCCTAGAAATGAGCATTCCAGCAGCGAGCTGAGTAAGAAAAACAAAACCCTGATTTAAGAAATGCTTGAATTATTTAAAAGACAAGAGAAAAAGGAGAGGGAGAATGACCGAGAGAGCGGTCAGAACCTTGTAAGAAAAGCAATGGGGCACAAGATGTCCTGGAGATGTAGGCAGTAACATGATCTTAACCTGACTTGCATGATTAAAAAATGCCATTGGCTGCTGAGTCCTCAAAGGACTGGAATGAATGGGGAAGGTAAGAATGCATTGTTTTTATAGAAAAGAATTCTTATAAGTTAGTAACTGCGCAAGGTCCCTTGCTTCATCCAGTTTTCTAATGGATTTTTTCATCTCCGTGTTCCTTAAGGTGTAGACCAAGGGATTTAACATGGGTGCAACAATGGTAAAGGTCACAGCCATTGCCTTGTCTACGGAGGAAGTGACAACAGGTCTCGCGTACAAGAAAACGCACAGCACAGAAAACAAGATGACCACCATGAGGTGGGAGCCACAGGTGGAGAGAGCTCTATGCTGCCCTTGAGAACTGCAGGACTTCAGGGAGCAGAGGATGGCCACGTAGAATGTGATGAGGAGAAGAAAAATGGCCACACGCATCATCCCCCTGTTGAGGCTGACCAAGAGGTCCAGAATGTCGATGTCCATTCAGGCCAGTTTCAACAATGGGAACAAATCACACACAAAGTGGTCTATGATATGGGGGCCAGAGAAGGGTGTTTGATACAGGAAGAGAAGCTGCATAACTGTGTGGGTGAATCCCTCTCATGGCCCCTCCCATTAAAAGGAAGCACACCCGAGGCCTTATGATGGTCACGCAGTGCAGGGACTTAGAGATGGCCACGTAGGGGTCACAGGCCACCACAGTGAGAAGAATAATCCCCACTCCACCAAAGATGTGGTCAACAAAGAGCTGGACCATACAGCCTTCCAGAAAGGTGGTTGTGCTCTCAGAGAGGGAGTCCACAATCATCCTGGGGGCACTGAGAGGAGGGTAGGTGGTATCCATGAGGGACAAGGAGATAAGGTAAAAATACGCAGGTGATCTCAGACTCTGACTTGTGAGGATGGTTACCACAATGAGGGGTTTCCCAAAATGGTGGAAGCGTACGTGATTAGAAACACAGCAGGGAGTATTTTCTTAGCTCTAGATTCTTTGTAATGCCCAAAAGAATGGATTCAGTCATTTCAGTCAGAAAACATTGCTGGGATTCTCCATTTGTAGCGGGCTGATGTAAGCTTATCCGTTTGAGCTGGAAAATCTACAAAGAATTTCATTTTTAATTAGCAAATATTGAGTGTGTTGAACAATTTCTGCATGCTGTCTCATATCTTTTTGTCCTCTCTTTTTATCTGGACATAAATACAGCAACCAGCTGTTAACAATTATATCCTGACAACAGCTTGATCCTACCAGTCCCCGCCCGCCTTGTACATTCTTTTGAAGTGTCTCTCTTGCTTTCCTTCATGACACTTGCTGCTTGAGACAGAAGACTTTGCTTCATCATTCTTGTGCACACACACACCTGGCAATATGGAGAA